GGGACACAGACCCCTGGACTGACTGGACCAGAGTTACAGACCCCTGGACTGACTGGACCGGGGACACAGACCCCTGGACTGACTGGACCGGGGACACAGACCCCTGGACTGACTGGACCGGGGACACAGACCCCTGGACTAACTGGACCAGAGTTACAGACCCCTGGACTGACTGGACCAGGGTCACAGACACCTTTTTAAAAACACAGCTCTTTGGGTGGGGGCGCTAGAGGAGTTAAAGGACATCAGTTTCCCCAATGTGCACAGCACTGGATTGGACACCGAAGAGTTTTAACACTGTTGTGTGTTTTCTGCAGCCCGGAGCACATCCTGATTTGCGAAGTGATGAGAGATTAGGCTTGATCTCTCTGCCCCTCCTGACGCTTTGATTCTGCTGTCTGTGATTCCGGGCCTCGTGCCTCAGGTCCGACGGCGAACCTTTATCCGGGCGTCTGACGTCACCGCGCACGTACAACGTAACCTCTTGACCTCCCGCCCGCTCCGGGCCCCGCGAGGAGTCGGATGGAGAGGGATGGCGGCCGAGCCGCGTTGCGTTGCGTTCGCGGAAAGCCGGCAGGAAAAGACGCAACAGGGCGACGCGGTAACGTATCGTAAGCCCTCTCCCGTCACGCACGTCGAAGACTTTAGCTTTATTTTTATTTATTTTTTTGGGGGGGGGTGGTTTTGTGGAGGCGCGACTTCTCGCCTGACAGGTGCGTGTGTCGTTAAGCAACGCGGGAACTTCCGCTTAGAGACGCTGACTTCCGGCCGAGCGCTGTCCTTCTGGAGAAATTAAAGACGTTTCTCGGCTACAGCGCCTCTCCGGGGCTCAGGAGCGCAGGGAGGCGACGGCTAGTGACGGAGACGGGGCTGGGGATTCATTACGCGGGTTTAAACTGCGCGAAGCCATCCGTACAAACACAATTTTCCCCCCCGCACTGCCGAATAAACGCGTACAAACGCACCGCAGACACCCAGGCGATGTGTTTTTTTTTTCAGTGGGTCGTGTTTTTTGTTCTGGTTTCGTGTAGCGGAAGCGACGCCAGACGCGAATGCAGCCGGTTTGAAGACGTGCTTTCCGTGTCCGTGAAGCGCCGAGGCCGAGCCTGGACGGGCGTCCCACCTGCAGCAGCGATGAACCTCCACCACCACCCTCGGTCTTCACCCGGCCGAGCTCGGCTTTTCAGCTGGTTTTTTTTTACATTTATTTGCCGTTTTCGGCCGCCGCCGAAAGCTCAGTGCTCTTCTAGATTTACTTTTTGTTTTTGTTTTTTGTTTGCAACGTCGCGTAAAACCCAAACCAACCAAACGGCGAGTCTGAGCTCTTTCCTAAGGGCGTCGATTTAAAGCTTCCAGATTTCGGTGCGGTAGGACCTGTTTATCCTTCATTCCCTCGGTTATTAATCCGCTTGCCTTGGGCAGCTGATTGTGAGGTTTTACTGGTTTGATTTCAGGTGGGGGCTGCACACTGGTGCTG